AGTGAGTTAGGTAGAGACTTAGCTTTAGCAATACATTTTCAATGTAAAGTATACATATGTTTAATAAAGCACACATATCTAGCCTGATAGAGGGTTTTAAAAAAAAAAAAAATAATAAGCAAATATATGAATACTTGTTAGTATATACTTTGTCTATCTATACAAAAGAGTAATGTAAGTGGCTGAGCCAAGGTAATTAATTGCCTTATATGAATATATTAATATATCACTAATAAAATCGTGATAATGAATTCATAACACAATAGATAATAGATATAATAAATAACTTTTATATTCTTGAAATTTATTTTAACACTAGTCCAGCCTTAACAGATTAGCTCCCACTAAAGGGATAGCAATAAGTCGCAAGATAAATTTTTCCTAAGAAAAGTTATCTTTATTGAGTTTTGTTTAGTAGTAGACTGGTAATATATCTTAGAAAATTTCTATATAATAATACTATATAAATACAAATAAAACAAGGCTGAGTTAGTATTAAAAAAAAAAAAAAAAAAATTAAATCTTTATTTTTATATAAATATTTTTATATAATTAAAAAATTAGTAAAAAATAAATTTTTATTTTAATAGAAAAATAAGTTTTTTTTTACTTTACAAATAAATAATTATCTCAATAATTAAAAATAAAAAGAATATTTAATCAAATTTTTTTAAAATTTTGAAATATTTATAATAGCAAGTTACAAGTATTGATTTTTTGATTTAAAGACTTAAATACAAAAATCAAAAAAAAAAAACCAAAATATTATTTTCTGAATTTGATTTAAAATATTTAGTTGAATTTTATTTTGTTTAGTTTACACTAATTTAATAAACTTCTTATATTTTTTAAATAATATAAATTTTTAATTAAAATATACACAAAAAAACCCCTCAAATTTTAAATTTAGAAATAAAAATATTAAAAATGGTGATAGAATAAAAATGTTAATAATAATAGTAATTTTTTTTAAAAAAAGGTTTGCACTTCAAGTTAATTTATGGCAACTCCGTATGTGGATTTAGGAAAGAAAAACAAGATTATGTATCATGTTAAAAAGAATTAATTTGAACGAGTTTACCATACAAACAATAATATTAAAATAATAAATTAAATATCGAAATTAGAAATTTTAATTTTGGAATTATAATTAAAACCCACTTTAACTACCCAGATCTCCCACTCTTTCAAAGTAACTTTCAAAATAAAAAATAATTCGTTTTTGGAGGAAAACCAGCACTTAGTTTGTCAATTATAGATTCCTCAAAATAGTTTAAAACTCTATCCTTATTAATTTACAACTGGTAGAAAAAACGGCATCCATATAATATCAATGATTCAAACCGTTAATTCAAAAGAGTCTTGGATGATGTAAATTGTCTAAGTCGATTCGTCATTCCACATTCGTTTTTCTTTTGATTCTCCAAGCAGCCATTCTTCTCTCTCTTAGTTTACTAATAATAACAAATTATCGGGAAAAATCAACCAGTTACCAAACAACATCGTAAAGTAATTATATAAACAGAGGAGAGTACTTACTCGGGGGAGTGAAAATACTGTTTTACCGAAAATATGCAACCAAGTATTCCGCACAAACATCCAATAATTATGTAAGCATATCCCAAGAATAAATTTTTACTACCGACCGGAGAAATATTGGAAATCACAACAGATTTTAAACCACCATATTTTCTGGAGGGAAATACTACAATAACGAAAAAAGAACAAATTAATAAGCAACATTCTTAATAACGGGGTTTGAAATTAACAAAAAAAAAAGAAGAAATTCCCGGGGATGATGTACCTGTATCAATGTCAATTTGGTAATAACCGGCCGTCAGCACACCCGAATCATTCTTTCCATATATTTTTCGAAAATTCGGGAGGCCAGCAATGCGCATCCAAACTTGAAAATGCTCGTCTTCCGCTGGATTTATTGGGGGGAAAGCCTCCGTGTACGTTCCATTGGGATATCTATGCTCCCAATTTGGTGGTGGCCTGATCTCCGACAAACTATAATGCGTCTTACCATACTTTGAACTGTCCCCGGGCGCCGCAATACCGGTAGAAGTAAAATTATAAGTAATATTTGTGATATTATAGGTAGCAACTGTTGACTGTGATGTATCAATCTGAATCATACTAAGATTGGAGAAAGTATCTTCAGAGGTAGTGAAATTAGTGAATTGTAAATTGAATAAAGTGGAAGTTGCAAATGACGCATACCATTAAAAATGGAATTCGCGACCAGCCCGCATGGATAGATGACGAAGGAATTTGACTTTGTGAAACCTTTGCATCCTCCCTTGGAAAGCTTGCTCGCAGAGACAGCCGCACCTTTCAGTTGTTCGCTATCTAAACTTTTGGAGTAAGACCTTTCGTTCTGGTAAAAATTGGTTAGACGGTAGTACAGATGGATGGGAGGAGAAATGTCTTTGTATACATAAAAGAGAATTGAACATTGTCTTGTGGTCTTGTTGTTCGGGTTTATTGCATATGGATGAGTGACATTCGATACTTTCCAATAAGTGTGGTGATGAGTATCATGGTCCTCTTCATCAGAATTGGACATGAATTTAGGGGACATTATGCGAAAGGCATCATTTGCTTCAATATCGCAATTCGTGTATTTGATCTCAATTTCGGATATCTACTTGTGCAAATGAAATGATTATTCTATGAGCGTCTCTAAGAACGAGTATTTAGGGAGGGTAGTATTAATTAACCTTTTCACTATAATAAAGTAAAAGCCCACCCAAAGGAGCAAAAATTATAGCAATGCCAAAAAGCAAGGGAAAAACTGTCTTTGGGGTTATGATTGGCTGGCATGCTCGTAACTTTTGTTGTTTGATAGAAGATCCTGGCACGGTTATTAGAACAAAAATTAGAAGAATTTCAATGAATTATTCTAAACTCGAAAGAAAAGAGCGTACCGCCAGGTTTTCGTGTTTTAGCTGGTTGAGTTTCTTCGGTCATGTTTAATAAAATAATAAAAAAGGAATCTGTGCGATCACCGTCGGATCGTGTATCGTAACGTACTGTTGCGTGAATACCCAAACAGGTGATAAAATCATGTGCATTCATGCATAACCCATCATCTTTTTGATGTCTACCTTCTCGATTTCAAGTTTACCTTCAACTTTCCTGGAATTTCTTCAAGCTAATGAAATTGATCCCAGAATATACACCATTCGGGAATTGCCTCGATACATTAGACTGAACACACAACATCCGCAATTGCCGACACGTGAAGAATTAGAAAATCAAATTGGGACAAAACTGTGGAACGTTGATGGTATAGATGGGTTCTATGGATTGGATGGAAGACGCAGAATCGTCGACTGCCAGGCGTACGTATATTGTTTGTGGTGGCATAGTTTGGCAACAATTAGCAAGATAGAAACTTATACCCCTGAATGTTTGTAGTTATAAGGAAGGGAAGGTATGGATTTTTTTTTTTTTTTAATAGGGAAGATAAAATTCCAAGATTCAAAATGAAGATATTTTATTATTATCGGCTTTAAGATATTTGGAATCGATTTAAGTTCCGGAATAGCGGTGTGCGCTCTCGACATCCAACCGGACGATCACGTACTGGATCTATGTTGCGCACCAGGTGCGTGGCGTCTTCACGAAACTAAAGATTTGTCAACATATGTTTCTTGACGTGCCTTCTTTTTCTGTCCAGGAGCTAAATTGTGCATGGCATCGAACGTGCTGGACGTTAAAGGTTGCGGCACAATTACCGGAGTAGACGTTTCACGTGAACGCATGTCCACGTGCCGTAGTTTAATAAGGAAGTATAGGATAGGTGGCCGTGTCAGATTATTCGTTGCAGATGGTACAACTTTTGATGTCCTCGCACCATCCTTTTTGGACCCCATCCGACGGATGAATAACAAGAACCACTGTACGGAGGCCGCCCCCGTAGAAGTCCGAGAAAACGTTAAACGCCAACAACGCGAACTTCAACCATTTTGGGCGCCCAAAACACTACGAACTGATCCACAGATAAGGGCACCCCAATTCCTGTACGACAAGGTTATCGTGGATGCAGAGTGTACACACGACGGATCAATTTCGCATATTCTTAAGGCATGTGCTAACTTTATCTTCTTGCGATCGTGAAAAAAAAAATTCAAATAAGCTAATTAACGACATCTGGCATTGAAAGTATGAGAAATATGGATGGGATAAATTCGAGGAAAACTTTTTAAACCCCGAACGTTTAAATAATCTCTGGGATTTACAGGTTGGATTTGTCTTATGAATTTCCTGTCTCCGATAAATTTATTTCCACATGGACCAACTAACTTAAAAATGCCAATGTAGAGAAATCTTTTAAAGAATGGATGGTCATTGCTTAAACCTGGAGGCATACTGGTGTATAGTACCTGCAGTTTATCGCGCAGACAAAATGAAGATGTGATTGAATGGTTTTTACTCCACTACCATGACGCAGAGTTGGAGACGGTTCCTAATGTTGTCAATATGACCGTGGCACCTCGGAAGGGAAACGACTCTGGAAGCATAGATTTATCCAAGGTTGTTAGATTTGATTCGATTTATTCTAATACCTCGGGATTTTTTCTAGCCAGAATTAGGAAAACACGGTTGTCAAGTGATTCATCCAACCAAAAGACGTGATACACTTGAATCTCGCTCCAAAGGTAGCTTTTCAAGTGTTATTTTGGGGTTTAGCATTGTGGGTACCGCTTTTGTTATTTTGAGAAATTCCACGCAAATGTCACTTGAATGCCTCTGTGATAGCGGCAACTCCACGTTCTCATCTGAATCCCCTTCATCATTATTATCGATCATGAGAAAATGATTAGCTAGATGTGTGTACGAAAAATTATCGGCATCACGAAATTTTTAACTTACTGAATTTAATCTCTAAAAGTGGTCTCACCCCTTTCTCCTTGGAAATATCAACCTCAATGTGAAGATCGGGGTTGTTGTAAGCTATTCGTGGTAGATTTTCTCTTAAAAAATACCTAAGCGCATTGTTATTATTCGCGTTAATTGTTGCGTGAACGTAAAAGTTGAGAAGTGAATCCCTGAGAGAGGTACCTCGCGCCTGCATTATCCTGTTTCCTAGAAAAGGTTAATCGTACCTTTTCGACCTCAGGACTCAACCTTGCTGCTCCTAAGCCAGTACGAAGATCTATCAAAAGTCTAGCAAGTTTGGAAAGCGAAATTCTTTTAACTACGGGTGAAGGCATCACTAGAATTAAAAAAAAAAAAAAAAAAAAAAAAAAAAAAAGCTTGCCAGTACCATAATTATGTAATGTTTATTGTTTCACAACCGCATCACGCGACTACAACTCTATCATCAACATTAAATTACAGATCCTCCTTGCATTAGACAATTCGATGGATAAGTTTTGCACTGAATATTTGCGCAGAAGTGCTCTTCAGGTTTTAACTTCTGCGGGTTTCGAAAAGACTTCTAGGATAGCGGGTGAAGTTTTCGCCGATGTTCTAAAGGACTATTTAATTTGCTTGGGTAAATCAACACAAAGTAGCGCGATCAATGCGGGAAGAGTAAAATCAACGTCTGCAGACGTTCTGGCTGCGTTTGAGGATCTTGGTATTGATGTCGAGGAGTTAAGGGAATGGGCACAAACTGAAGGGAAGAACCTTGGAAGTTATGCTGGATCTCAACCTCTAATCTTGAAAGGTAATGCTTCTTTTATGGCTTCAAACAAAAATTTTAAATAATTGCGGATCTAGAAACATTTTGTCAACACATTCCATAGATTTATTAAGGAGAGGACTTCCTGGTTATTCTGTAAATAGTGAATCTAATAGGCCGCTGAAAATTGTGAATAAGAATTATGAAACTATGGAAAAGTTGTTGGACAAGATTCAACTTGTTTCTTCAGCCGAAGATTATTCAAAACTAGAAAGCATTAACCAATATTCAGATTCAGAGAGAACCATGCAAATCTCCGAGTCACAAGAGGATATGATTGATGTTAAGAAAGAAGGAGAGGAGGAGATGGTTATTGATACGGATGGCTTGAATGAGAACATTGAAAGTTTGCCTGAGCACAAAGTTGATGGCGAAATTGAGAAACTGGAGGAAAAAACAAACGACGATGTTAAAATCACAGTTAATGAAAATAAATTGGATGACACGGTAGAAATGCAAATTGATGTTTCTATCAATAAATCGGACAATAATGCTAAATGTTTGAAACCATGGGCTCAGGTACGGCCCTCGTATGTTCCCGAGTGGCTCCCACCGTTTCCAAAAATCAGATCTCTCAATGAAGAGGATCAAGAAAAAGGTGATGATAAAAAAGTAGATGATGAAAAACCGGAATATACAGCTGACAGCGTAGTTGCCAAGGATGATGGCGGGATGGATTTGGAGATGAAAAATGCCTCTACGAATTCATCCGTCAACACATCCCATGACGGAAACGCGAAAACAACTCGTCGCATAAAGCGTTCCCCAGACCAGCGCCCTCCAACCTATGATCAATTCGCCAACATATACAAATCGATCACGCTGGTCAAGCCAGTTGTGAAAGAGTCAGAAACGGAGATGACGAAAGATGAAAAGAGAAAGAAGCGCAAGATAAAGGTTTCGACGTCATCGCTGTTTCCTTCGCACCACATCTTTGAGACGAAGTTCGATGGATGTGATGGGGTTCTTTCCCCGGATGCACCTAATTCGTTATCTTCATCTACATTGTTCAAAGACATTCCAAAAAAAATGCCAATTTTTTCTTACCCAATACCCAAACCTAACAAAGGTGTGGAACCAAAAGCACCCTTGCAAACAACTCCCCTTTCTTTAGATTCAAAGATTACGGAGGAGAAACCTTTGGCGTCACGAAAAGGAAAAGAAAAAATGATCATAGACGCCCCTGATATTTTCGAGAACCCTACACCCAACCCCCTCCCACCAAAGTCTCAAATCTCCGTTCAACGAGATACAAAGAGCAAAACCAAAAAATCGGTTGCTCCTGTAACTTCGGATAAACTCACCTCAAAATCCAAGAAGGCCGTGCAACCCGGTACGACTGTACTTAAATTACGCTTGGGAACCTCTGCTACCCCAGCCATTGCCTCTACCCCGTCAGTACAAACAGAATTAGTTATTAATAATGACACCGCAGATCCACCTGAAATCATTAACTGCATTTGTCCATATCCTCTTTCAGAGATTGACGATGGAAATTTTATGCTGTCATGCGACAATTGTCAAGTCTGGTTTCACGGAATATGTACAGGATTTGGTCCCACACCCGTAGAAGTAAACACATGGTATTGTGAACGGTGTATTGAAAAAGGTATATCTTAGCCATGGCTCGTGACCATGCTTTTTTTCCTTTCGTATTTTATTTTTTATTTTTATCTTTTTCATTATATGTATTTGCCCTAATATAATGAAAAGTAGTAAAAATTTTTTCTGAGGTTCGATATATCAAAATATATTTGGTCATACCCTATGTTAAAGATTCAAAAAAAAAAAAAAAGAAAAAGAAAAATTCCCGCTTCCGATATACCTCTACTCTAGAGAGCGCACGTCAATAGAAGACAATTTTTATCGCCTGTATCATTATTCGTTATTTCTTTATCACTACCATTATTAATTTCGAATTCCAGTCCGAATGCGTAATTCTAGGGTTTCAACAAGACGCTAGAATACTTAAACGCCTTGAATTTATTTAAAATATGTGCATACCGTGTTGTATAGCATAGTATATATTTTAATTATGCAGGATGTAACATAATTTCCACCCGCCAAAAGAAAAACAATTACTAATCTACGTGCACGATGTATACTGTATACTGTATATTATTAATAAATATTACTATTTAACGGTAAAACGATGTTTTGATTGTTCTTATTTTATTTCATCATTATATAGCTCTTGATAAGCTACATGAAAAAAAATGGTTAAAAAGATTAATTAAAAAATAAATGTACAGTATACTTACTTGAAACCATGCTATTATAACTAGTTATTTCTTTCAAATTTTTATATTCAAACCTTTGAACCAAAAAATCATCACCAACAGGTTTGTCACTATTGATCATTACAAAACTGATAAAATTGCTAAAGATAAGTATTTTGAAAAAAAAAAAGATAAATAAATTAAAAAATAATTCAAAAGATTTTAGTTACCGTATGTCTATTAATTTTCTTTCAAAAGAAATAATTGATTGTTTTTGATTAAAATTAAATTTGAGTGATTTCTTTATAACAATTTGAGAAAAAAAATTTTTTTTGTTGATATATTAAAAATTTTATTATATTTTTTATACTAGTATTACATTAATAAAATAAAATCTTTAAAGATCTCCTACAAAATATCGCTGATCCTTCTTTTTTTTAAAAAAAATTTCCTTTTTTGGTAATTTTCTTGAAAAAAGTGAAACAGTTCAAACACACAAGGAAAACAACATCTCCTTT